ACTAAACAATTGGTGTCAGAGCCTTAGTTGCGTGAATTATGCGCGTATAGGGCGCGACACATATTTGTTATATATTTGCATATGTTGCATGTTTATATAATCCTGCTATTATGGCTTGCATGCATGCGATTTAATTTATGCACGTTTTTAAAGTCTTGGGCATGTCGAGAAATTTTTTGGGTTGATGATTGATTGTAAACTTTATTCATGCGGTGGGGCACTGCATAGTTTAAATTATTTTTTAGATCAATCATTTACGACCCTTCGTGGTCATAATATTGAAATTGCAAAATTATATTTTATTATTTTCGTTGGACCTTGGTGAGCACGGACAAACCTCGAACGATGGAGACGACGACCAAACCTTCTCAACATGGCGGCCTAGACATCAGGAGAATGCCATGGATGCACGTTGAGGCAGCTTGCTACCGTTGCGGCCTAGTCGTGCGAGCAAGCTGGTAACGCGTCTGGCCTTGGTGGATCTGGCGTATAGGGGCGGAAGGTGAACAGGTAAGGAGCGAGGCCACGCGTGACAACTTGGGGCGATCGTTGGAAGTGGGCAATATGTTGTGGAGAACAGGTGCCATGCGACGCGGTTGTGACCTAAAGCACATGCAACGAGCGACATTATGGGTTGGCGTGGCGCGGCGCGGGGCGCGAGATTCTTGCAGACACCAGGCGTTGCACACACATGCATCTTGTGACGAGCAGGTGTCGATATAGTCTAGCAACGGCATGTGCGGGCGGTCAGACAACGGTGTGCATGAGATTGGAGCATGCGATCGACGACAACCAGCTCTAGGATGGTGGCGGTGGCGGTGGCGGTGGCTGTTGCTCTCTGCTTGGAAAATGAAGAGTCTATTCAAATGTAATTTCCATGTAAAAATTCGATTGTTATTTAATGACATAATAGTTTGACTTTCTTACTTTATCGTTGATAAATATAAATATGCATGATAATTAATTTAATTTTTTATTTTTTTGATAAATTAATTATGGTAATTGCATATTTAAGAAAATCCCTCATTTGTAAAATACTGTATGAGAGAATTTCTATTTAATAAGAGAATTATTTATTTTTTCCCATGACCACCATTAGTGGTTCATTTGATGATGCAATAACTTTACGCGTGGGCTTAGATTTCCTACATTCATATCAAAATTTATTGTGGATGAGTGAAAGAGAATTTCCTTCGGATGGTTATAGAAAATTATTTGGGGGCACACGTACCTCTCCATCTTTAGGGCATGTAATCCCGAGTAATGGACTTGGCATCATGTAATAGGTCACACTTCAAAAATATAAATTATAGTATCCTCCCCATCGGAGTCACTACTACTTTTATATTTGGCCGAAGATACACCGACTATCAATTTTATTTAGCCAAAAAGTTAGGTCGACATGATTGTAAAATTAATAGGTAAAACCTCCTTCGGAATGTGAGAATTCCTATACGTCCACACGAATGTGGCATGCGAAATTCCCCGGTGCTTGAGGTGTCGGTTAGGGATGGCAAAACAACCTGGACCTGGCCTGAACTGACCCGACCCGGAGCATTTGAGGTGGTCCAAATTTTCCCCATTTCTAAAACGGGTTGAGCCTTGCCCGACATGTTAACTAAGCGGGTCAAGTCCTGGTTCTTTTACCTGCCCCGGCCCGGCTTGCCCCACCCCGCCCCGCCTCAATCTTATTTATTTATTTTTATATAAATTATATATAATATATAAGTGAAATTAGGAATTAAGTTTTGAGTTTTCTCATTTATGTATCTTCACATTTTTATATAAATTATATATAATATATAATGTTTGGATCTTTGTATTTTGAGTTTTGAATTGTAAGACTTGTTATGTTATTTGTTGGATTATTGTATTTCGAATTTTAAGATTGTTCTTGAGTGCTATTTAAGCTTGTAAAAGATTATTATTATTATTATTATTATTATTATTATTATTATTATTATTATTATTATTATTATTATTATTATTATTATTATTATTATTATTATTATTATTATTATTATTATTTTTGTGCAATGTGTAATGTAAGGTGATGATTGGGGTAAATAAAAGGAATAAAAAATTATGTCAGTGGCTACCGGGTCGAGGCAAATCAGACACGGGTCGCAGGTCGGGGCGGGTTGACGCGCCCCAAAACGGGTCTGGTCACGGGCCCGACCTGTTGGACGCGTCGAGGGTCGCGGGGCAGGTCTGGTCCACTTGGCAAAAATGCGGGCCAGGTCAGGGTCCTCAGGTACCCGGCCCGACCTGGCCCATTGCCATCCCTAGTGTCGGTGAATTTAAAATATATTGTTTAAATGGATCAATATTAAGTTTAAATTCAAAAGTTGACTATAAACTTATTTTGCTTGATTTTGAGACTATTCAAAATGTCTTTCAACCCAATTGTTGTCATACTTAAGAAAAATAAACTTGTCCAAATGACATTGACTGCAAACACAACTTGGATATTGTTCTTACTACTGAGGGGTACAAATTTATGTTTTCTGAGGAACGTCCCGAAGAGCCTATTGATACCCCGAGCGATGAGGCAAAAGATGCATTTAAGAAGTGGGAAAGAGCCGATAAGAAGGCACGATGTTACATTTTGGCATCCATGTCAAATGCAACATCAGCATCAGTTTATGAACAATGTCTATGATATATGTTTTAGTCTCAAGGAGCTCTTTGGTCATCAGTCTCGGACTGCGAGACAAGAAACGATGAGGATCTTGATGACGACCATCATGGTCGAGGGCACTCCCATAAGGGATCATGTCCTCAAATTGAAGGCTCAATTCAATGAGGCAGAGATCCTTGAAGGCATCATCGATGGTGAAACCAAGGTCGATATTGTCCTCTAGAGTCTGCCAATAAATATTGAGCAGTTCTGGCTAAACTACAATACGAACAAGAATTTGCATTCATTGTCGGAGCTGCTGGCAAAGCTCCAAGTGGCAGAAAAACTCTTATGTCAGAGACCTCGAGCCGATGTTGCCGAGCAGGCTCGTCCTTCCACTTCTTCTAGGCCGAAAGGGGTAAGAAGAAGAGGGAGCAGCCAGGCAAGGCGACAAAGAAGGCAATCGCAGCTCAGGCAGCAAGCAAGAAGCCAAACACAGCTCTAGTTACTCCTCTACAGGCTAACTAGAATCGAATCAAAAGATAAGACCCAACCCGAGAGGCCACCACCGGACCGACACCAGCAAACAACACCCAAACCGTACCCAAACCCTCCGGGCGACCACAACCCACCGATCGAAGTGAAAAGTTGCACCCACCAGGCGACGACCCTAGCGGGGAGACAGGGCACCAGTTAACAAGCGCCGATCGCAACCAGTCGACAATCGGCACCCGCTGCTACAAAGCTACCAACAAGCCAACGACACCAAGACCACCATGACTCTCTGAGGAAATCCACGTGAGGTAGAGTAGCGACCCACCAAACAGAATGCAACCAACTCTTGCTACAACCCAAGCATTGACCCCCATCGATGGAAGGAGCTAACATCACATCCAAATAGTCTTGTAAGAGATTTCAATTTATTTATAATGTGCATATTTTTCAATCTTTCCCAAACTAAAAAAATTTTGAACAAAAAAGATCAACTTAGATGATAAAGGTTTATGAACCAAACATGGAGTTTCCTATCACTATTTGAAATTATATTTCAACTTTCAAATTCCAATGCTTATTCTAATATTGTTGCAAGAAAGTTCAATGAGTTGGATGTTGCAGAAGGAAGTTTGTCTGCTGAGAAGGAGAAGATGATTAGAAGGAGAAGCTGGTCTTTACAAGTCAAAGGAAAATTAAAGCATTTCATCTGGAAATGCTATAACAATGTGCTTCCAGCCTGCTGTAATCTTAAAGCTAGGGGTATGGAGGTTGATGTCATGTGTCCAAGTTGTGGTGAAAAGCAGGAAACCATAGAACACATTTTTTTTCATTGCACTAGAGCAGTAACTCTGTGGAAAATTGCTCCAGTTAGTTTGGACAGCTCCAAGCTTTGCACTAACAATTTCAGACTGTGGTGGGGAGGAGTGTGTTCAGTGGACAGAAAGGTAATATCTGAAGATAGGATACAGCTGACCACATACCTCTTATGGTGGCTGTGAAAATCGAGGAATTTATGGAAATTCAAAAATGTCTAAATGCCTGTGAAGACTGTGGTGGATGCAGCCATGAAGGACTGGTTGGAATTCAAAGATTGTAAAAAGATAAGAGATTAATTAGTGTTCAAGGGGACTGCTAGGTCTTCTTTTGAAGTTCAGTGGTAGTAGCTCTTGTTGCTGAGATTTCTCTTCACTTTAGATCCTTTATTTGGCTTGTGATAATCATGGTTGCTTTAATTCTTTCTTGAAGGGTACAGCTTTGTCAGGCTGCTTCTGGGAGTGCTATCTGTGTTGGATTGGTTGGATTTTGCTTTGTAGGTTATGTGGTTATAGTTGGAGTTGGGTTGTTAGTGTTTCTATTTGTTTCTATTTATGGCTTGTGATAATCATGGTTGCTTTAATTCTTTCTTGAAGGGTACAGCTTTGTCAGGCTGCTTCTGGGAGTGCTATCTATGTTGGATTGTTTGGATTTTGCTTTGTAGGTTATGTGGTTATAGTTGGAGTTGGGTTGTTAGTGTTTCTATTTGTTTCTATTTAGAGCACCTGCGCGTGTCTCTCCAGGTTTATTAGATTTATTCGAGCCAGTTGGCTTGTCGATTGTAAGATATTGTTATTGTTTTGATTGTGATATGAGAAATGTCTATCGTTTCGGAAAAAAAAAAAAAAAAAAAAAAAAAAAAAAAAATAGACCATAAAAATATAAAAGAGAATATAATTTAAAATCACACGAAAATATAAATCATGAAACACATGCATTGTACGTGCACTTTATTAGTAACAAAAACGGAACAATCCATCTCGATAAGGTATAAAAATCACAAAATATGAATAACACACTTCACCGATCAGTACTCACGAGAAACTGACCTATCTAAAGGGTCGTAGTCCTCCTACTCAGGCACCCCGTCCCGCTCGTAACCATACTCAAAATCATCACCCATCCTATTGTAATCATATTGTCCCCTCCCTTGCTTCCCATAGTAGTCATGCTGACCATGCTCGGCCATTTCACCATAATCCCTCTCGCGCCTTGAGTCAACACGCTCGTCATCATATTCAAAGTCCCTGTCTTGAGAACGGCCACGAGATTGTCCACGATAGTAATTATGGTCGTGAGCCCCGGTTTCATAATCCTGGTTGCCCCTCTCCCGAGGGAGGTCCCTCTCACGGCCATGGTCCCAGCCACGGTCTCGATCACGTCCGCAGTCTCTGGTTCGATCGCGGTCCCTGTGGTGCCTGTCGTCTCGGTGGTCCCGATCCCGAGGCTTCTTTCGTTCTCTCTCTCGCTCCTTTCCCCTATTGCGGGATTTCTCCCTGTCCCTGAATCAATGATAATTATGCGTAAGTTTTGAGATAATTTGTCGTAATAAATTAGTGGTGTAGGGAATTTGATTGCAGAAAATTTTACCTGTCTCGTTCAACCCTTGGCTTCTCGTACCTAGATATCCCACCAGACTGAACTTGCTCTCTGTAACACAAAAAGAAAAAAAAAAAAAAAATGGATGGGACCTCTCTTACACTTGTATTTCAAAAAATGAATGTTGATACAGAAGAAATTATCAGCCCCAGAAATAGCCATTAGAAGCTTAACAATATTTTAGTGTAGACAAATTGGAGGAACTGCGATGAACCTATTGATCAGAAATCATGAATGAGAAACGCGCAAAGCTATAATCCAACACACAGCAGCTTAGCACAAGGTTTAGGATGTGGTTCTTTTTTGACTGGCTCTCATGGATAACTCGTTAGATCTTGTATGATGATTATCTAACTTATATCTTTGTTAACAGTAACTTATATCTTTGTTAATTGTTCGGAAATTATGAGTTATGAATTTATAGGCGAGTATTCACAGCTTGAAATGCCGTATATGCTATATCTGTTCATTATATGATGTCTAGTAATTTTATCAGTCCTCTACGAGTTTTATGATAACTATGTGAAATATCCTTCCGTTTCAAGCAAAGTCTTGCAATCAGCCAGATCCTTTCTTTACTTATTCCAATCAGAAGTGTAAGTTGGCAATCCCACCCGACATGTATGAATGTGTCAAAAGGAAAATGTGAGACCATCACATTTGAGAGCCTAATGTTTTCTTTTGAAACTGTACATTGCATGAGCTATTCAATGCCCGCATTTGCATGAGCTATTCAATGCCCGCATCGGCCACAACAACCAAATCAAGGATACCAGCAGCACAAGCAGACTCGATTAAGGAAAAAACAACAAAGGCATACTCCAAGTTTTACCTTTAATTTGTTAAGGTAGTCCAATAGGTCAGTGGAGCTATGAATTAACTTAGTCCAACGAAGAGAATAAAATCAAACATCAGCAGGAGCATTTAGAATATATCCATTCCAATCAATAAAGGTGTAAAGAGAGGAGAAAGATAAACATGAAGATCAGATATAATGTTTTGAATGGAGATTAGGAAAATAATTGAAATGCAAACCCAGGGTTCTTTTCCAAATTTTCTCTTGAACTCATATTTCTCAAAATGAAATTACGTATCAATACTGAAGTAGACAGCTAGCAACATTCCACTTAAGACATTCATAAGGCTACTGTGACATATTGCCACAATTATCTCAAACCACACTCAACATCAGGGTTGTAAACGAATCGAATCAAAGCAAATACTCAAACATTTCATTAGGATACGTGAAAATATTCAAGTATTCATACCCGTAATCGATTTACTATAAAATTCAATTTGTGATTAGTATTCAATTCGTTTAAGATTATTGAACAATGAATATGTTCAATCCGATTCAAAATTCGATTTCAAAATTTATTTATAAACATATAAATTGTCTATTAATATATAAATATATTATATACATACATATTTATATATTATTTCTGCATATATATTTATATATTATTTCTGTATTTAATATATATTTCTTTATATATTAAAATTTAGATTATATATAATATATTAAATTGTATATAATTGTTATTAACGAATCAAATATTCTTTAATTTCAAATCGAATGTGCACATTCTTCGGTTTTGTATAACTTTCGAATACCAAATACTATTCTTAACTTTAAATTCAAATTCGAATTTCACAAATACCAAATTCAAATCGCGAATCGAATCAAAAAAGTTTAATTCCATTGCAACCCTACTTAGCACCATCAGTTACCCCTCAGGGCTCAGACCACAGAACTTCACTCATCCAAACACTAGTAAACATAAATAGAATACCAACTGATTTGTGCAAGATGCACGAAATTGAAGTATCAGCATAATTACCTCTGTACCTGCTTCTGGATAACTTCTTCATTGCCAACCCGTGATGTTCCAAGACCACCACCAAGCCTGCGGGGTCGCCAGTTCGGAACAGTTCTACCACGTTCAACATCCACAAGCACCCTCTTACCATCAATCTTCTTACCATCAGCTTGTTTATATGCAGCTACATGACATATGTACACCAATTACAGTAAACTATTAAAATATAGTACAACAAAAAACAGAAACAAGACACATACACATATACAAGAAACATACAAGAAGAAGAAGATGCAAACCTTTCATATCACGTGTATGCACGTATTCAATAAAAGCATAACCTCTTGGCTTATTTGACTGATCGGTAACCAAGCGAACCTGAAACTCGCAGTACACAATATGCCTATTAGCTAAAATTAATGTTAGAACAATACATACAGAAGAACAATTTTTCCATTAACAACCTGACTTCATACTACTACTACTACGTAATAAAAGCATAAGGGCACGGCAGATAGACTCTCTGCCTAATAAGCCGTGCTCACCTTTCAAATAGAGCTTCCAGGCAAGATGCATCACCATAATTGCTAGTGTTGCCAAAAACGGAGGCCAATTTACCCGTTCACATGTATACTAACCTCCCCTTACCAGGGACTCTTTTAGTAAACAGAACAAAATATGAAATGACTATTTAATTTCATTACCAGAGTATCTTCGGAATTGTTGAAGCATTTTGACGACCGTTGAACCAAAAATAAGAATTTAGTAGCAGAAAGATATTGAGTACTCAAAAATAAAAGAGAGAGATGTAAATACTCCAATGCATATTACCCATTGGTATCAAAATTTCTTCTCCATGTTGCTTGTAATATGGCCAAGAGGGCGAAAGACAGAAAGCACTATCGCAGTTCACAATTACAGTTTCACCTTTGCTTGAATGAAGCACCATTTAATTGGATTAACTCGTGGAAAATATATGAACAAAAGAGGTGAAAGGAAAAAGACTTCCCTCTTAAAGGGATATACTTACACTTTGAAATCTATGAACAAATGGGTGCCTAAAAAAAATAGAACGCCATCACGTCTGAAGAAGACATTAAGCCCCAAATGAGCAGAAAGGGAAGAAAAAGATTAGCACAATAACCTAATTTTAATCAAAGGGTCAAAATTATACCTGAGGACAATTCCATAGCTGACTTATTCATCCATCATTAACACTTGAATAAATATGGTTTCTTAACATCAACTCGGGTGGCGCAGATACAATATATAATTTATGTATTTTTTTGTAGAATGATTGCAAATGGAGGCCATGGAATATTAATGAACAAGGTGACATAATGGATGCAACAGTTAAGTCAGTATAAATTATTACATATGTATTTTTTCATAAAAATGTGAAGAACAGCTATCTATAGCAAGTTACCATGGACTACAAAATTTACAAGATTTTTCAAATCATACAACTATACAAGAATAAACCGATATTTGACTTAGATTTAGCCTAATCGATTTTTAGGGTTTATGTTGTTCTTGGGGTTGCTTGGTGGGGTTAAATAACCGGAGAATATCTTATTCGGTGTGAAAATAGCTGTAAAGATCTTTGGATTTCCTCCATTTGAATCCGCAAAATTTTGGATGATATTCTTCAAGGACCATATGACACTAACACAGTGCGAAAAATTTCTTACTGAACCAAAAGCTAATAACCCAAGCCGGACAACTGGGTGTTCCATAATACCTACCTGCTTAATAGGACCATATACCTCAAACTCCCTTTTGACTCTGCTCTCACTGGTCTCATAATTCTGAAATGGAAACATTAAAATGAGTAACCCATGCAAAGTACCAAAGTCACTAGAAAACATATTATTTGAAGATTACTCACAAGCCTAGCAACAAACAATGTTTTGTATGGATTTCCAGATATATTAGGATCGCTATTTGTATCATCTGCAAAGATAATCAAACAATAAGATGAACAATGTTACCAAGACCACAATAACCAGATAAGTTCCTGTTGCAATATTAGAGTTCTATCTTATTAATTAAAAGAAACTTTTGCAAATAAAAAACATAGATTTCGGTAGCTATGCACTAACAGCATGTGACACATATCAATATAGGCTACACAAAAAAATAGATGCAATACATTTCTCAAGGTCCTGTGCTGCCTTTTTAGCTCCTTCCTCCAGCCGCATCTGGTGAATCCTAGCTCTTCGCTCAGCCTGTAGAATATACACATATATACACAGTTACGCACACCTTTAATGCAGAGAATAATCAATATATTACACAAACTCCTAAAATTGCCCACATGATGGCATATGACACAACAAAAATTCTATGGAGCCATCGGATGGTTTTCTTATGGAGCCATCGATCACTTAACGTATTGACACATGTACAAAGTGTATTTATTGTAGGACACGTGTCAATACACTATTTGTGAATAACTGTGGATGACTCCATAAGCCGAGCCATCCGATGGCTCCATAGCAAAACTGTATGACACAGATATGCCAAGGGAATTAACAGCATTATAGAATGCTGCGTACAACTACATAAAAATGCCTATATTAGGAAAAATATTAACAGTTACGAATGAGGTTTTGACAGCCAATGAGTTAATAAACTATGACTCAATGAACACGAAAAGAAAGCATATCCTCACAAAAAATATAAAGGTGTTTAGAACACATTAGACAACAATACGGCATTCATCTTGTGCAGAAGTATCTGACATACAGACCAGCAGATTTCCAAACAATAGATAGAATACAAAATTCCAACCAAAAAGTTTACTTTCACACAAGATTTTGAGACAAAGATATACCGGGGTTTCACCTTTCAGCACAGGAGCAGCATATTGTGGATCACCAGGCTCAGCAAATTTACCAACAAACTGTGCCATACCTGGTAAATCAATATGGCAGTTCCCAGGTTAGCTAGTATGACCAAAATTTTCACATTGTTTAGCATTGTAAAAAAAACCGCGGACCTGTATATGGTGGACATTTCCTCTTGTCAGGAGATGGTTTATATTCCAAAGGTGGGCGAGGCTCAAATAATTTGAGGAGGTTCGGTGTCAAACCAGTTGGATGACTCTTGCCGATCTGTAAAGTTTAAGAATACAATAAGCTCGTTTATACCGATTGAAAGAGAATTGACACAGTCAGTTAATTTCTTTTGCACTTCTTAAATTTCAACAATTGTGTACAATCATCAGATAACTCCATACACCAAACAGGACCTTAATTGCTGCTATGTCAATGTTACGACCATCTTATTTCCAGCCGCAACATCGTCGTTCAAAATTTTCTAAAGCCCAGACATCGCAAAATCCACGGTAAACAGCATATAACAAAATCAATATAACAATGATACCCTGGTTACGGCCATAAAATTTACGAAACAAAAAGCACTAAAACTAGTTCAAATTATGTTATATGAGAAGATCGAGAGGATCCAGTATACGAGACTTACCATTTTGAGATGCAAATCATTGGCGCGGTTCTGAGTTTTGGTACGGGCCTGAAGAGCAGCGTTTTGGTTGCGCATCATGGTGTCGCCATAGTCCCCCATCCTTCGAAATTCCGGTAAACAATTTAGGGTTTCTAGAGATGAGAAAGGGTCATGAAATCACACGCTCTGGTCTTCGTAGAAATAAACTTCGATCTAAAGCGGCAGAAGGTCGATTATTGGTACTTGCTCCTGGTTTATAGCTTCTGTGGGTATGTATGTATTTGGGTTCGCTGCATTCGTTTTCTTTTCATGTTTTACTATATTTTAAAAAAATAAATTAGTATTTGTTATAAAATTAGAGGGAAAAGAGAGAAGAATAGAGAAAATGTATTTTTTTGGTTTTTTTTATTATAACTGAAACTCATATTTATAGGAAAACTTCTGATGACACAACTGTAGTAATACAATTACATTAGGGGCAAAATAGTCATTCGTATATATAAAATTAATGGTGGTTGGTAATATGCCACTTCAAACTTATTTTACAACACTCTCACTTGAATGACTATTTCTAAACATATTTTAATTATTATTTGAACAAAGCTCAATCCGCACATATTCAAGTATATCTTGTGGCCATCAGGTACCATTGCTTCAGCATGTCAGGAAAACTCGGTGGGACAATACCTGATCATCGTGAAATCATAACATTGCTTCCTCAGGAAAACCCGGTGGGACAAAAGCGGAGCATTGTGGAAGCACAATATTGCTCTCCCTCAAATAGATAATCTTTAATGGAGTATCCACGTGCTGCCTCGTTAAAACCTTATCAAGAAAACCTAGTGGAAAAAAAAACTTGATCGAATGAAAACGAGTACAGCTATCCCAATCTTCTTATCATGAGGAATCATATCATTTATCCAGTAGTCCTCATTATACCATGAATACGCCTCGTTGAAACTTTATTAGGAAAAACCCAATGAGACAAAATCCTAATGAAGGAAAAAAAGTACATTATTCATGTGAATATTTCATCCATGTTGCCTCAATAAAAACCATGCTGGGAAAAACCCAATGGGACAAAACCTCAGCCAATGGAAAAAGAATAGAACGTGTATTCCATATATTCATAACAATCTTCTCATAATTTGTATGAGTATCATATAGATTCATTCAGATTTTCAGATACTGATGGTATTCATGATAATATGACATATCATGCTTTGTGCAACTTTTATTCTTAAACTCATTCTCATCATCAATTGATTTCAATGGTCTTACTGCCAATAGTTCCTAATATTCACATTTCAGCTGATTTCATCTTCATCAATACCATTTATATAGCGCTATTCATTTGCTTGTGTCAATACATATTCATTTCCATTATTCCCTGTAATATACTGTGATATATCATTATCAATTGATTTCATCATTAGTATATATATGCCTCATTTCATCACTTATTTGAGGAATTTCAATTTGCACAATGCCAACGCTTCCACCGTATTATTCCACCATCATATCATTTCATATACCACCATCATTATCATTCAACTTATGATTTGCGCACTTTCAGTGTGATGCATATATCATTTTCAAATTTCAATAATTGATTCTCCCCCTCATCTTAGCAGATCCCTGATCTGTATTTTCAGTATTGAGTTTCTTGAGGGGATTCATATAATCTCCATTTCGTTCTTGATTTCAACATATGATAGGAGAACTTTGAACTCCTATCACTTGTAATGTGCACATTTTTCTTTCAAGAGTTCATCATATCAGCTGAGTATATTACTAGCTTCATCACTTTCATATAACATTTATTTTCATTTTTCTCATAACCATCTTGTGTCATTCTTTGATCAAACCATCTCGTAGCTTCAGGTTACGTTTCATATACACATTCTTTGATCAAATCATCTCGTAACATCGTGTCATATATCCATTATTTTATCAAATCATCTCGTAACTTCAGGTTACGGATCACACAGATGTGGCTATCTAGTGGATCTATAATATCTAGTAGCACACATGGAGGGGTAGTGGGCCCATATATATCATATCCCTTTCATACTCAGATTGATCAAAATCAATTCACAAATATTTAGCTAGTAATAATTTTTACCAATCGAGAACGAAGCATCTCATATCACAAAGAATCACTTAATCATGCAAACCATCATTTTATATCAGTAAACATCATAATAGATCATTTTAACATATTTATCACAATCATATCACATCATCTTTCGGCGGCAATAAATGCACTTCAATTGCAGATTCTGACCCACAATTTTAAATTCTGAATTGTATCACATGTGTATCATGCCTTCGGTCACACAGACTCTCTATTTTAGAGTCGTCTGGCATACGCATCATTTCTATAAATTTTCAGGCAATTCATTCAATCTATCTTAACAAAGGTCCGAATTTATAAATGGATTTAGCACTCTCAAATATCCATAAATATTATTATTTTCTCCCAATAAATATCATAAAAAGAATTTACCTATCTCGATTAGAAAGGTTGAGGGTGTTAATGATTAATGATATTCCAAGTGATATTCGATGGTTGATTGAAGCAAAAGTTCGATTGTCTGGAAAGTTTCCAAATTCATAAAAATATATGCCATGTATGGGTAAGAGTACTTTTGCAAAGAAATGAAGTGCAAAAAGATTAGGTGGATGCTTCAAATGCGCTCGATGGACTTGTGACACACGATGTAAATATGTGAGGCTCGTGACCAAAAATCGAGAAGATAAAATACCATTATAAAGGATGGATCGAGTAAAGAATCTATGGATCAAATGATTCACCAGATTCTTGAGACACATCCTTGTGGTTATGTGCATTGTGAGCTTATGTCTTTATAGAATCAATTCAAAAGTGAAGAAGAACGTTGTAGTCTCGCAAATCTTGTTTCAAAAGATCAAGTTTGTATAACTAGTCTTGTTAGTACGAAAAATCATACTAATGAAGTTTAGTAGTTGCACTATAATTTCCAGAAAATCTTATAGCTGACAACAGATAAGATTTATTTAAAATCCAACACCTTATCTATCGGTTGCAATTATCAGAAGAAAACAGTAAAGATATTTATCGTTTTGTAAAACTTTCCTTTTAAATAGCGAGTCATTCATCATAATCATATATCTCATAACATTTTGAAACATTTCAGTTTATCAATAAATAGATGGATATTTCAGAGTCTTCGTAAGGTAATAATTTTCTTCAACTGATCAAAACCAAATGTGTTCTTGGTAGTTTTAAACTGGTAAGTTTTTCTCAAATTATTGATATTGTACGTCAGCTAGTAAAGGAGATAGGGAATCAAAAAATCAATTTACTGTATGGAGGAACTAGCATCACTTTCTTTGATAATCTTTTATTGACTGAAAAATATTTTGAGATAGAAGTGAAAAGTATCATACCTTTCCATAGAGCTTCAACAAGGGTTGTCAAAGATTCCACGAGTTTGATGTTAACTCATTCTATTTATGACTGTATGATGGATATGATGAACAATAGCGATGCGTTTATCATTCTTCCAGACGGTTATGGTACTTTAATGAAAATGTTTACCATTGCTTCTTGGGCAAAAATGAAACTTCATAACAAGCCCATGGGTCAATTGAATTTTAATAACTTTTTTCATAGTTTGCTTGAATTTTTGGACCAAGGAGTATATCAAACATTTATATCTCCTCCAACGGGAGAAGTATTCAAATCTGCTCACACATCTGCTGAACTTATCAAAAAGCTTCAAGAATGCATCACATTTCAAGATTCTGTGAAAACACAAGGGGTTAAGCGAAAAAGATTTTTGATCCTTTAGATCTCTCATTATGAACCCAGATAACAATAATGGGTGGCAGAATTATGGAGTTTTATACTCTTGAGACGCACTCTTCTTTTATGGTTTCTATTATGTAATCTTTTTCGCATTTTATATTTATTGAGGATTCACTACCTCGTATCCATATTTCCATCATATGAACTTTCTGTACTTATTTCTCAATAATTATAATATCAGTTTAGCTTTTCCACAATATAACCGTGTAGTACTTCATGACTACAATCATTTACCATATGTGCTTTTTCTAAATCACTTTATTGTAATATGATCTCAAATCTCAATATGATTTTGTCATCTGATATAGTCCTTTAGACTCATATAATATATTGAGAAATCATTTTGTGTGACCACCCATAACTGGTAACTTTTGGTACCACTTTCTCATTTTGTTCAATCATTTAATGGTAGCTTCTGGCACCATTTCATCATTTTGTTTAATCATAACTTGTAGCTTCCAGTACCAATATACCAGATATCATAGAATCATTATGTAATAACTTTTGGTACCATTTCATCAATATTCGTTTCTCCATCAATAAATTTGGAGAATTTATCAAATACTCCTTCAGGATCATGTTAGTCTATATAATGTCCGTTTACGATAAGGACTTTAATTAGCTTTTCATATGGCCAGATACAAAGTATCATTAATTTCACGCATCAGCTATCACTTAATTTGTAATACCTGTCGCCGGCGGCAGAGCCGCACTGGCCGGCCCATGTATGTATATAGTCATTCATATCCTTTTATATGTAACATTTGTTGTACATGTCCTTACCACATGACCATTCCACATCATCGACTTTAATTAATACGTTGACCAATTCATTTAGCCGTTCAATATCATTAATATGTTGCTGGTGGCTGCAACACTTGGCCATTTCACATAATTGTTCATAATATTTTGATCAACAATTGACACATCGGCTACCATAAATATTACTTGGCGGCGGCAGAGCCGCACTGGCCGGTCCTCGTAGCCGCACATAATTATTTTCATATCACAATGGTCAATACATATATATTCACATGTTCATGTACATAATTTTCACAATAGAAAATTTCAAATATTTTATAGTGCCAATACATATTAATATAATTTAATAAACCATATCAATATTGGTTTTAAAATGAAACTTTCATTATTCCGGGCATAATGAAATTAACATCAAATAATTTTGATAAGCGCAATTTCTCTCATTGATAAAAATAAATTTTGAGGTTTAATTAAAAAATGTTACTAATAAGATTTTTCCACTTCT